TTTTATTTCGTCGGCACGCGTCGGATGAAACAAGTTCGCGAACTCGCAGTTTTCGATCCGTTTATCGCGGACAACTCGAAAGCAAAACGTTGAAACCATGATGTTGCACGTAATTAAAAAAAAAACACACACACACACAAACAAAAATACAATTTTTACAAAAAGAGTTTTCAACAACAGCGACGTTTATGTAAAAACCTCGCGTTTGACGAAACTATTGTCAGTGGATAACAACGTGAATCACTCGAGAGAGACCGCGCGAATCGCATCAGCGCTCTTTCGTGAGTCACTATAACTGCAAATAAATGCTATCCACATAGCTGCGGTTTGATACTTTCGTGCGGCCTTGTGCGGACCGGTGATATTTTTTCTATCACTTTTCAATGACTTGAACAAATACGCGCGCGCGAAGGTAGAACTCCCCCGGTGACGTGAATAATAAACGCCTGTATCGCGTTTATAATCGGTGATTATTTTTGCCGAATTTTTTTTCCCCGCACGCCATTTTTTCCCTACGTTATTTTTTACCAACACAAATACGCCTTTCTCGGTATCTGCAACATATTATCAAACGTCACGCGAAATAGCGATTAAAATTTACGACAGCAAAACTAAACGCCAAAAAGTTTTGATAACGGCAGAATATATGATTCAAAACGAAGTGATATTTTTCGCGCGCGGTCCAGTCTATATACGGAGAGAAGTATTAGAAGATCGAAAGCTACTTCCTCGCGGAGAGCGGTCGTTTCTCGGGAAAGATTAGAGAGAAAGGTGTAATAAAAATTTTGTCATAAACTCGCCCGAACGGAAGTGCACGACCGAAAGAACGCGAAGGGAACGGGCGCATCTAACGGCGAAGGAAGAACAAGAAAAAGCGACATAAAAGTCATCGGATCCTTCCTTCTTTACGAGATATCAGGTCGATAGATAATCTTACGGTGTTCGTCGGTCGGACATTCAATTTCGTAAATGGTCGCGGCGGAATCGCGCTGCGCTCGTAAATCGTTGGTGCCTTATCGCGCGATTGCCAGCCGACTAGCTTCTTCATTCCCGATACGTCGTCTGACCGGCGGCGAAGGGGCGACTCGATCGTGTGTGTCGCCTCTCTGCTCGTCGTCCACATGAACGACCGGAACCGGAAGCGGCCGAGCGTGAATAATACACACACGCTTCTCTCTCGTTCGCCGCGGGCAACGCGGACTGCGCATTAGGGACGCTTTTGTTACGCAATACGCTACGGAAAGCGACATTGGTGACAATCATCGAATTACACTGCTCGTGAGTACGCGGACGGTCGCGTCCGTGCTGCTGCAGTTTCGTGTGATCCGCCGCGGATGCTTCCTCCGATTTCCTCGCGGCGTGTATGTATTTCACGATGTAAACGGCGCGTCGTCACGCGCGCACGCGATAAAGACGACTGATCGCGCAAGTCTGCGCGATAATGTGTCAGCGATATCTCTGTGGGCAATTGTTCAAAAATGAAAAAAAAAAACAAAAATACGTTGCATGCAAGATACCGAGGATTTAACGCGGAACTTTGTTCTTTTTCATTACTTCTCAAAATCACACATACTTACATTTAATGTAATTTGTTTTAACGCAATTTTTGAGGTCACGGATTAGGATTCTGAAGAGCTAATGTCGCGATAAAAGTGGATAAAATCTTGTTTTGTTTGCAACACAGCAAAATCGAAATGAGTTTTTCTCTTCTGGATATTCTTTGCGCTAAAAATCAAACTCGCTGCGACGTCACAGATTTCAACTTTCGTCGCAAACCTCGACGGTGTCACTCTCGATCCGCGAACAATTGACGTTAATGCGCTAATTCAATTCGCTCCACTGACGTGACTGGATGACTTGACAAGTTGCCGTTAATACTGTGTGTCATTGTTTTTATGCGCACAAGAATACCATTTGCCTCGAATCGGAGAAATCTGAAATACGCAAATCTCATCGTTTTAACCGGGTCCGGGTTAATCAACTGACAGATGTAACGCGTCTAATATTAATTTCTAAATTTGTAAATGCAGGTTATATGTGGCATATTTGCTGTTTAATTAAATTCTCCATAGGCTTTAGAGACCTCTCTGGAGACTGCTGTCCAAACTTCTGAGCGAACGTCATATTCCCGCACATGTCGAGTTCAGCAGAGAGAAACAACGTTCGTGTAATATACATATATATATATATGTATATGTATATGTAATATATGTACATGTATTTCCCATATGACTTACGTGTTATTCTCTGCGTTTAAATTGAGCGGGATATTTTTTTTTTAAGAGAAATATCGACTTTTTGTGTTCACACGCAGCGTGTTTGTAATCACCGATCTCTTATTTACGCGAAGCGATAATTAAGTTAACGCGGGAAAATCAGTTGGAAATACGAAATTGAGACAACAACACAAGTTGAGGCTAACACAGAGCTTCGATAGCAACGCGAAGCTTATATTTTGATAAAGTTCAACCGCCGGAGTTAGCAAGAGGAAAGATACGATATCTAGGTTGGGGCGCATATATAATTAACTCGTCTCTCTGGCACGTATAGAGATGACCCGCTCGCGAAAGAAGGGAAAGAGAAACCGGTGCACTCTAAATACATCGGTCGCGAACGTTTTTAACCTTTTGTTACAAAAAGTTTGTTTCGAAAACAGTTTTGGAGACGTATTTATATTTATATGTGACCTGACATGTGGTGTGCGCGCGTCCCCAAAAACTTTTCGCGTCTCTTTTGATCCACAAACTCCGTTTGAGAGTTCGCAGACGAAAATAAAAATAGATTTAATTGAAATATTTCGATTTCAATTTACTCTCTTTCTCCCTTTCTCTCAAGCTCCAAATAAAATTTTCACGTAAATGTGAAAATAAAAAATTTATACAATTTCGAATTCGATCTTTTTGTTTACACCGGTGTATTCTGAATCGCACGCATATTATATAAATTACAAAAATGTAGACGTCGGTTACAACAGAATTAATTTTGAATCGCGCAAATTACTTGAATAAATATTTACGTACACATATGGAGAGACCTTCGAAATAAGCTCCGTATTAGCTCCTGACTACTTGTGAGAACAACGTTCTCCGATCGTTTCGAAAACGCGTCCTGTTTACTCGACGCGATATATAAACAGATTTGACCTATATCAAAGACGAGGGGTCACGAGACGAACGTGTGGATTTGAATTTATGAAATTGACTCGAGCCACACTCGAGGATTCAGGTGAATCATCAACGGAAGCGAGAAAGAAACGAAAGTCGCGAGGTTGACCATGTTGCTTTCAGACGCCGCGTGTCGTATCGGCTTGGGGTCGCGTGCGTGACAGCGGCTTAAGGCGCGAAAATAGAGTCTCGGAGCAGCGTTGCTGCTCGGTTGTCGTTGTCGTTTGACGGTGTGCCCGAACGAACGCGCCTGCTGCGCGTTTAGTCGCCGACTGGAAGCATCCGCGAGAAGAGCGAGTGGTGCGACGCAGTTTGGGCTCGACACGCGTCCGGGAGAATAACTTTGAGGAACACGACACGCGTCGCAGCGGAAAACGATTCGTCACGACGAAAGAACCCGACCCGGAGCGTCGTCGTCGTCGTCGTTGTGTCTCGTGACCGCGAACAAGAGTCGAGGAAGAAACGACGCGGATGAATCTGACGGACGTAGCGGTTGTGTTGTAAGGAAGAGAACGTTAAAATAGTTTATTGCGCAGCGAGATAGATTTTGGTTTTGTAAAGCGAAACACAAGTGAGATAAAAGAGTATTGTTATTTGGTGAAATATTCAATACCAACTGCGATTGCGCTACGTTATTATGTAATGACGATGCAAATGAATTACTTTGATCGTGTGATTGAAAAACAAGAGATCACGGCGATTTCGTGAGTTTGGTCTCGCTTATATAGATTTCGGATTATAATCTAATCTCTCGTCTCTCGGAAGATATCAATAGCGGCTCGACGTTATTGCGGGTTTAATTGAATCTTCATAATAAGCTTCTTGTGCAATCCATTAAATGAGGCCGCAACCGAGGTCGCTGGCAGGCATTGATCGACAGATGACAGGCGCACACCAATCGAAAGCGCTCCACTTCGAATTTTCGATTTCGATTCGTAGAAAAATTATTTTCGCCACGCCATTGTCGAAAATTTATTAGTCGATCGATCAGTCGAACTTATATATATATATATATATATGAGATTTGATGTAACTGTTTACGTTGTACCATTTTCTATATTGATTTTTGTATGTTGACGAAAATAATTACAATATCGTTTCAATTTTTTAATAACATTATTAGAACCACTCGAAATGAACGTACATATAATATTTTTATCAAAATAAGTCAAAATGACTCCTTGCGCTTATTTGCTTGCACATCCTCTTTTTTCTCTCGTTTTGCTTTCTAAGGTATAATTGACGGAATAGCAATCCAGCTACATTAGAGCTTGCATATCGCGTGTTGCTTAATGTACATTTAATATTGCTTTGATATGCGATTCGCCTAACGATAATTCTGTTATTGCAGTTACACTCGAGTTTATTTTTATTTATATTTACTTACATTTTATGAGAGAAAAATACGTTAGAAATCTTAGAAAAAATTAAGAAAAAATAAATTAAACTCAATCAACTATATATTTCGATAAAATTCGAAGAAAAATCACAAAAACAAAATGTTTTTAAAGTGAACAATAATTACAACAAAATTTCGAGACAAATCATTTTGACCTTTGTGGTAGTTTTGTTAACAACGATGAAGAGAACGCGTTAAGTAGCTTTTTTTTTTTTTTAGAACAATTGTTCTATATATACCTGTTCCAATCGACTCATCAAATCCTTAACGAGCCCGACAGTCGGTTTCGCTGAAGACGGCTTAAATTACTCACGTTAGCTCCGTTTAAACAAGTCTTTCAACCGGTTAAGTCTTCTTCTCAAGCTGTGCGCGTTCATAGCTACAACACACATTAACAATATCAGTCGCGTATAATTTTTATTATTTTTTTGTTGCAGCTGGACTCGTCGTGTTGGTTCGACGATCGTCGCAGAGTCTTCGAAGAAGTTCAAGATTTCGCGAGCGGTAAAACGTTCCCGTTGCGAGAGAAAGAGAGACAGAGAGAAATAAAGAGACGACGCCGCGATGGGGACGAAGATAAACCACCAATCGACGATGGATATCATCAAAGACGAACCGCGATCGGACGAATTGCCACTCGCGATGATCGACAAAACGGGAATCGGCGAGATTTTAACGAGACAAGCGATGGCCTGGTGCCAGTTGTGGTTGCACCCGTTCCCCATAAAAATGACGTTGAACAACGTCGGATTGTTGACGGTCCTCCTCGCGATAATATCACCGCGCCCGCTTATTTACAGAGTCATTTATCCGATTTTCAGATTAGTCTTTGGCACCTTATATCCGGCGTACGCTTCGTACAAGGCGGTGCGTACGAAGAACGTCAAGGAATATGTGAGTACGAAAATATAAAAAAAGAATGTTAGAGACACACAATATTCTGTTACACAGATTTGTATGTGTTGAAGATCGAAAGTTCATTTTTTTTTAATAACAAAAGAAATTATGTACACACGAACAACACGAAGTACACCAACTGATTCGAATTGGCTTTTAAAAAAAAAGTTTTTTGAAAAAAAACTAACGGAATACAATAAATATGTTTTTTTTATCAGTTTAACACTTTAACGATATTTAAGCGGAGAAACTACGAAGGATAAATATTTGAGATTTAATAAGAAATACATATTTGAAGTAAATTAAAAAAAAAAAAAAAAACTCGGTGTATTTGCGTTGCTACACTTGATGTGAGTAGTGTATAATTGTACACGTGTGCTTGCACATGTGCAGACTCCGTATCTCTTTATTTTTTCTTTATCCATTTTTTCCTCGTTCTTTCACCGTTTCCATACGACAGAAAAAGACACAACGCGAATACATCACCTGCGCTATTTTTTGTTACACTAATTAGATGCTCTAGAATTTCTTTGGTTTCAGGTCAAATGGATGATGTATTGGATCGTATTCGCGCTGTTTACATGCGCGGAAACATTTACCGACGTCTTCTTTAGTTTTTGGTAAGAAAGATAGATATATGATTGCCTATTACAGAAAAATTGTGTTTGTAAAATTCTTACGTCTAACATTTTATTCAAATACGACCGGTATATCGCGCGATGTTATCGAGCGTTGAATCTTGGAAAAATGGCGCGCGAGGGCAAAAGCGAGAGGCCAATAAACCAGCTGCGAACCGCGCGGTCTGAAAGCCGTCATTCTTACCCACGGAGAAATTCCGAAAGTCTAATTTTGGCCGAGATAGATATTGGCTTACATGCACTTCTGAGGATTCTGCTCTCCCTGTGCTCGTCCGCTTCGTTTCTCTCCCTCGTTCGTTCACTGTTATCTCTCTCTCTCTTTCTCTTGCTTGCTCGACGTCGGGGAAGAACATCGTGCCAGATCTCCCTTCATACTCGGATTACAACCAAGACGGAAACGAGTTCCCGCGTATTTCTGGCGTCGAAATGCCCGATATCCTTCCCGGCACATTCGCGGCTTTCCTCCACGCTCACGTTATAGTCGAAGTTTTCGTCTCGCTAATTCGAATCGAGTAATTACTGAATGCACCTCTATGAAATCACGCGTTTGCCTCATGCGTAATTATTATATTCTTTCAACGCCAAGAGGGAGAGAAAAGCAGCTTCGCGTTGACTCGTGCGAACATTTTACACGTCCCGATGTGTCTGTTGTATAGGTTCCCGTTTTACTATGAGATTAAAATCATCCTGGTATTGTGGCTGCTGAGTCCGGCCACTAAAGGTTCCAGCATTCTTTATCGACGATTCGTGCATCCCGCGCTAATACGCCGTGAGGCCGAGATCGACGAAGCTCTGGCACGCGCTACCGAGCAGGGTTACACGGCGGTGTTGCATCTCGGCACCAAGGGTGTGAATTACGCCACCACGGTTCTTATGCAGACCGCCATCAAGGTAAGATTTTACGTGAATCGTCAAAAGAATCACATCGTTGTCGTACAGAATGTTCCGAAACTATCGTTATCACGTTTTATGTTTTGTTTGGATATTCGTTAATAGAAATCTAGTTATATATCTCGAAGAACGCGTAAGTGAAAAGTGATAGTTGAGGACACTTTGTGTTGCAGACACAAAGAGAAGTGTCTTTCAGAAAATATTTCGGAAACTTTTCTTAATTTAACGCTTTAGATATATTTTTTTTTTTTTTTTTTTTAGTTCACGCACACGTTCGTTATTGAATATTAAATTGAAATGTAAATTATACACACGTAATACGTTAAAAATATTTTAACCCCCCCAAGTAAAATGTCTCGTGCGATCTCGTAACTTAACACCAACTTCTCTTGCTTTCACACATTGATTTACGCATAAAAACTTCCAAACTTCCCTCTCAGTTTGCCGCTCACTAATAATTTTTACGTATTTTTGATTTTTTGTTTTCGTTCTGTCCCATCCGCGTTCCCGCACGCCATCGTCCTCTCACTGTCTGCTGCATCGCCGTCTTACCGCCTAATCAAAAATTCGATCATCGCCATCCGCAAAAACCACCCGGTGGCAAACACCGAATTACGCACCTAACTGCCGCCCGATCATCGCCTTAACCACTGTGTCGTGTTGCTTAAGAAATCTGTCTACACCGAAACGTCGTCAACCGCACAACAAAATTTCGCCACTGATCCGTAAGAACAACGAACTTTATCACAATAACTCGCCAAATTACTGGGCGACCTATGTAAATTGTCGTTAAAAAACAAAAAATTCTTAAAATTCAAATTGGCTTAAAAAACATTGGCATAAAAAATCGGCGTTGTACGACAGAATCTCTCGATCTTATGTTCGTCCACGACGAGCTCACTCCCCGATCGCCCATCAGACCTGGCGATTTCTAGCTTAGCCAACCCCAGTTCGGCGACGAGGTTAAACAGCCAGACGGACTCTCCGGACGGCAGCGAGAACTACACGCCGTGTGGTAATGAACAGTGCGATGAATTAATCAACAATACTGACAAGAAAAGTCACTGGCTATACTGCGATCAATCGACAACGGATGACTCGGAGGATGAGATGGATGTCGTGGCGGATGCGGCACCGCACGTCGAAGAGTCAGACGAGGAAAAGTCGGACGAGGAGAAGAAGCCCGTGTTCAAAACACCCGAGAAAGATCCTCCGAGAAAAACGCGGAAACCCAAGAAGGAGCGTGTCACCGCGCCCACCAGACAGCAGAAGACACGTGCCTGTCGCCAACAGCCAAAACAAGTCTTTGATGACGACTTCAGCGATGCGGATTTCAATTTTGCTAACTGATCTGATCGGAGAGCAGATGTGTTTAAGATAATGGAACAAGGTTAAGTACCGCTTAAAATCTCGGAAACAGACCGAAGTAAATCGGCGGTGATGTCAAGGGCACTTGGTGACACTTCTCGTTGAAGACGAGAGACTGCGTGTAGTTTGTATCTGAATTATATATACGAATAACGGCATTTGTTATTATGCGAAAACAAAAAAATCAGACCGATGACAGAATCTTCTGTGTGTTATACACTTTATACTGATTTTTTTACGTTGTATGAATTGTTTTTTTTTGGGGAGGGGGGAGTTTTTTATACGAATTTGCAAAGCGGAATTTTCTGTCGCGGATTTGCGATAAATATTTATTAAATATATTACAGATAATCTTCTTTTGGGGATATGTCTTTTATAAAAATGTGAAAAAAATTACATTTTTGTGACCGTTTAACTGTACATATAACGCGCAATACATTTTCAAGCGACAAACAAAAGTTGTTCGATATATTAGTAGATAAGTCACAATAAAAACGAGATGGGTTTTGTAAAAATTTATACATATATAAAAATTCTTGTTGTTTGAAGACGAAATATTTCTGAAATTATTCTCTCGACAACAAACGGAATATTGGGAGCAAGTTTTAATTACGTACGTATTTTTGATCAAGGTAAGAAGTTCGTCGATCTTTGTACTTTTTTACGTGTACTTCGTTTTCGATTTTAGCAATCGTGCCGACAACGTGTATCTTACTGTCAGAGGTCCTTGAGTATTTCCGCAGCTATTCGAACTACGATGTCGAAGAGACGAGAGAAATTGTATAAGATTGTTGTCTCGCGCAACTCACATCGCGAAACAAATTAGTTTTTCCACGTGCCACCACTTGGCACTTAGAAACACTACTTGGCAAAATCCGTCGAAAACTTTCTTTTCGGTCTACAGATTGATCTCTAACATCTTGGTTCAGTCGAATCATAAAATTGATGCAACTATCTTGGATCAATTGTCATGATATCTATTGTATCTTCGCGTCAAACGTAGATTTTGAGTGTAAAAAGAAAAGTTTTTGACGGATTGTATCGACTTAAGTTTTCGAGTACCGGAAAACTACTTCATTCGACTAGTAGCTGCTGAAGCGTGTACTCAAGCCCTTTAACAAAGTCTTAAGTATAATCGATTGCACCGTCACAATTGATATCTCAATCAGTTTTCGTCATATTGTGTGCACATGGTATTAGCGTTAATGATGTCAATAATCGAAGACGACAATTGATTGTCAAAGAAGTTGCGTCATAGCACACAGATTTTATTCGAAAATCTGTAACTAATAAAACGTTTCTGAGTCACGTAACATTTTTTCTTTACATTGTATCATTTTTTTTTTTTTTTATTATTGTATATCTTTGTGTTATATTCTCTATATATAATATATAAGTTTTGCGTGATATTGCAGCTACAACAGTTAGTTACTTAGGACTAGCTAACGCGTGTCATTTAGTATTACATGACTTTAATGAGAACGTTTTTTTTTCTTATTATCTTTTTTTTGTACGTGTGTGTATAAAAATGTATAAAATTAAGATTTACACAAAAAAAAGACATCGAATCTCTCTTAGACTTAATTCGACTCGTTAGTGTGATTAGAAATTAAGCATCAATTTTCGAGTGTTATTTCGTGTGTTCAGTGCATCAGATTTTCTGTGATTTGCTACTTCTACGAGAAAAAAAAAGAAGTATTCAGCGATGCGAAAAAAATCGTGCGTCAATACAACGAGACTCGGGTAGCGAGCATACGTCACTTTGACATCCTAAATTGACATTATTATGACGTAAAAAATGATGACAGTTGATGTCATACAAATTTCTGACGTTATTAAAAATACATATATCATATTTCTTCACGTGTACATTTATAAATAATTGACAATAATTGGCTCTCTAAACAATCCGCACGTTAACACAATAATCAAATGAAAAGAAATAATGAAAAATAAAAAAAATTCTCTCAGACCAAGGTTGGTAGGATAGGAGCAAGGACGTTAATAGCTTGGTACATGAAATTGTATTAATAATGCCTATAAAAAAAATAATATATCACAAGACAGTAAAAAATTTCGAAATACGTCATAAAGATATCTGAAGGACGTTTAAATTGTTTTAGTCATCTCTTTTCAGATATCTTTTTCGTCTTTCGGACTTTTTGTGCTGTTTCAACTTAGAAAAAATGCAATTTCATGTGTAAAAACATCAACATCTCTGCCTGTACATGAGTTACAAGATCGAGATTCAATCCTTTATTAGTAGTGAGGTTTTTTTCTTTTTGTTGTTTTTATTTGTTATTGTTTTTATATGCGCTAAAATAGAGCAAATTATGAGTTATTAATATACGCGTCTAAATACTTTTAATAACGTAATGCTTTCACAATAATTTTACGTCATAAAAACGCTAATCGAATGATCAATTTGGAACGTCAAAATGACGTGCTATCTGGAAACGAACAAATTGCGCATTAGTATAATTGTCATTAGTACAATCGCCATCAGGGTGGTGGGTCTGTTCGTGTTGCTCACACTTTTTCACAATTTATTACTCAAAACAAGACGGATGTGTTTTCATACTCTGGTAAGAATAGGAAAACGAAATAAAGCGCAAAAAGGATGAGAAACACTTTGTAACGGATTCTTTTGTATCGTCGTTGCAACTGTTCGTGTGCGCGATCATTCGTCATCTTCTCGTTTTTGCGTTTCACCCGCAGAGTTACCGATAAACGTGAGTGCAACTTAAAATGCGTGTGCTTTTACGCACAACAACAAAAAAATGCCGCGCGCACGTAGAAAAACATATAGCAATAAAAACTCATTCTCTTGTGTGTATTGACGAGCGAACAGAGTGAAGATCTTTCTATCGGATGCAGCGCCGATAAAACTGTTCATTGCTGTTCGATATTGCTAGTTTGTTTACGGAGATGCGTAAATTCAGAGCGCAACGCAATTTTTTTACGAATGTATTCTTGTGTGTGATAGTTGACTTGTTTTTTTTTCGTACAATATGTATATGATGTTCGCCCGCAATTTAAAGCATAATCGTAGCATTTGAAACGTACCACTACGTGTATTATGGCGGTTGCAATCGAACAGTCGTTTAAATTGCATCATATATACATGTTTGTTTTTTTTTTTTTGCGCATTTTGGTCGTGTGCGAACTATTAGAAATCATCAATACACTCGGCAAAAAAGCGTGCAGTTTTTGTCTTTGTGGAGAAACAAAGACGAAATATCTGAACGTAAACAACAAAGGTGCTTTCCCAGTGTCAATTATTGCTGTCATATTTTTACGTGCGAGCCCCCCTTTGCGTCGAGCTTAGAGAGTAAGATCTTTTTGTACCAATCCCAAAGATTCTGATTCTTATTATTATTATTATTATTATAAGTTGATTTCTTTCATCGAATAAAAAGTATTACTCAGACGAGAGCTTTCGACCCTCTGATTTTTGTTTGCTCCTGTCTCCCAGTATACATCGCTCGTCGCGTAATCCGAACGGAGGATTTTTAATTTTATAATTTGCGCATTAATTTGTTTCTCTCTTTTCTCGATAAGCGAGACGCACCCTTTTCAAAACTCGCAAGTTCACATTACGTTTAATATAAAGAAAACTAATCGCGCGAGCTTAGCAGCTACACAGATACGCGACGTCATGTAATACAAGCATCATCATTTAAATTTACTCACGTATCGTCGCGTGGACGGCGGCGCGTGTTTAACAGAAAAAAAAAAAAATGCGTATGTGCACGAACGTTTGAGAAGAGAGACGAGAGACTCGCCTCTGGATTGATTGTGTCGAAATCCGACGTTCGTACAGGCGTAAGGGGAGTTGATCCTCGCGAGACCGATGAGACACTCGGGGCAGAGATAACACATTAACATCTTTTTTGTTGGTAAGACTTTTTATTTTGTTCTTTTCCTTTTGTTTTCAATTTATTTAAAACAACCGAGTTTCTCTCGATAGAGAAAGAAAACTGGTACTTAAAATTTTCGCGTGACACACAGATAACGACGCGACGATCTCGTTATTCCTCGAGAGATGCGTCTATAACGAGCGACTTTGTTTTCTAGGGTGGCGGAGGGCTCGTGCAACAATTAAGGAAGAGTTACAGTCTGAGCGATCTAACCGGCGAGAAGGAGGACGAAAATAGAAACACACCCGACGTGCGTGACGAGACAGACATGGAAGGTAACTGAGTTCTCGCGCGCGTGTCTCGCTTGAGAGAATAAAATCATCGATATTTTTAGTAGAGGGTGGGGGTAAACGTTAACTTTCACATTTACGTAATATAACCGAACAAAGTTGCAAATTGTTTTATCATTAATTTTGCAATTAATTCTTCTGTATATTTAATACGCATGTCTGTGGACGTGCGTGTATCCGTTTTGAACACATGATCAAACTTTCATACCGCGAAACAAGATGTGCCGACCAAGAGACCTCGAGATATTGCAGTGATTTAATTTTGAGAAACAAATAAGAAGTTTTCGTGATTGTACTTTTGTAGTTGAACCTCGTCGAAGAGAGCACGCCGGCAGAAGAGGCTACAGTCCTCGCAGGACCCAGTCCAGCAGCAATGCGTCCCGAGTGGAAATGTATTTCTCCGAGGTGGATGTTGATGTTCGACAATCGCGGCCTAGGGAACACGTAGCTAGCACTTTAACGTACGTATGTCTACAGCATAATTCGCGCACTTCCAACTACTAGTAGAGAGAGGCCACGTTCGTTGTTTAATAAAGAATATCGATAATAACCGATAGTTTTTTCTTTTTCTGCGCACGTAGAAATATAAGGTCTTCGGACGACATATCTAGCGGTTATAGCAGCGGCGAGGCGCTACAGTCTCAGCGTACTCATGCCGACTCTTTGGTGAGAACATCGAGCGTAGGTGCGAAGACGCGCGTGAAGCCGCGCTCAACCGCGAAGAAGACGCCAGAAGTAAGCCGATAAAAAAGTAGCGCAATGTAGAAATCAATATCTGTTTACGTACACACACATACACGTTGCTCGTTCGTGAGTAAATCGCACATCGTTTCTTTGACGATGCACAAGTTCGTTTTAACACGTTTTAATGATACGTAATCTTTTCTTTTGTTATGGTCTTTGAAGGACAGGGACGAGGATTTCGACCGCATCGTTCTTCCGTCTCCCGAAAACATCTCCCTCCCGTCGTCCTTGAACGTCCTAACTCCCGAACAAGCAGCCGAGCTTTTGCTATTGTTTTCCGAGATTAGTAAAAACCGTCCGATACGCGAATTCCCCGTTAAATCCGCGAACGAAAATCGATCGGTAACTAAAATAAGCGAAGATAGAGAATCGTCGTCGACGGAGTCGAGTAGCGATTTTGTCGACACCGATCCACCGGTTCAAGCAGACGTGCAAACGATACAGACCGTGGAGATAAAAAATATCTCGATGGAAAGTGTGTCGATACCTGCAGTACTCACAAAAAACACACCGGACAAAATGAACGTCGTCGATACGTCAATGGAGGAATTGAATTATCATCGCGATAATGAGCCTAATACATTGCTCAAACATATCGATGACAAATCGGAAAACAGAAGTCGCGAAGATTCTCTCTCTTCTCCGACTCCCACCGCAATCGTTGTTGATAATCGCGAGCAAATAACCAGCGAAATTTGTCAGGAAAAAATCGACGAACTGAAGCAATTGTTGGACGATGCGCACAAAGCTATAACGAACATCGTGTCCTCTCAAGAAAAATTGGCGGAGAGTGCAATTGCGATCGAAAACAACAACTTAAGTGTGTCATCGGAAATGAAAATTGATGACGATTTATCGGACAATAAGTCATCTCGCGATGGTGAGATTCAACGTTCACCCACGCCAAGTTCGTCGAATAATCTCGACGTGGATAATCGAGCGGGGAAGTATCACAAAAAACCCGCTCCGAAAACTCCGCCGGGCAACGAGGCGATAAATAACGAAGACGAAATTGAATCTCAAAACGCTCTGAAGGCCACTTTGGTCATTAAAACCGGAACGTTGAGAACGGTTTCGAACGCGGACGTTACGAAAGATATTTTCCTAGCGCACGCACCGGATTCGACGAAGAAAAAGAAGAAGTCCCGATTGCGCGCGAAGGACGGCTTTTCCAAATTATTAACAATCCCGAAAAACATCTTTCACAACGCCTTTCACAAGGAGCAACACGAAACCTCGTCCAAAGAAGAGGATTCAAGCTCCACGTTTTCCGAGACCAGCGGATCCGCATCGAGATCGAACAGTATCGGGTCCCAGGTGTACGCGGACGGTTCCGCGAAATTATCAACCGCAAAGCGGGAAATGAATGTGGAAGAGATCCCGTTGAGACCGGAGGGCAGTACTAAAATATCTGACATAAATATAAATTATTCTTCGTCTGTTGAAAAATTGGACGTTACGCCCGCAACTTCGAACGACGTCAAGACGGATCTTGAAAATAAATTCGCGAATAAAACAGCAGACGACAAAAAGAACGTGGAAAATTCTGACAATTGCGAAAAGAATGTCGAAAATAAAAAATCCGGCTTGGAGATGCCTTTTCACAGTGGCAGGAAAGAAATTATAACCGATATTTAAAAAAAAAAAACACACATTTTCTCATAATTAATAACTTTTTCAACTGTATCGAATAGATGATTTATGCCTATTTTTTTTTTCACGTTTGACGGCTTCGAAATTGTTAAAAAACAAAGCTTGTTCTTTCTCTCCTTCCATTTCTCACACACTTTATAGATATCCACTGCATCCTATGAAATGAAAATCCAGAAATCCGGCCAGAAGAGATGTGGACCGATCCGTTAAGATCGTATGGAGACTAGTTTCTGAGTGCCTTGTTGATTCCTTTTTTTTTTAATTATAACACGTAACTGTCAACGTTTTCCCTTTCCTGCATGTAATATTAATCGATATGTAAACATTTAGATATTACATGTTAATTAATCCGTAATATTTCCCGAATTGTACATTACATACGAATGACTTTTTTGTTTAAATAACTCGAGGATTTCTAGCTTTGCTATACTTATATTAAAAATTGATGTAAAAATTGATTTTTATAACACTCGTGATATACAGCTGAAAGTTTCACTCCAAGCCTTTATAAACTTTCACTCGAATCGTGCTTTTGTTCCGTTTGGCGTCGCTGACTACTTTTCGTTGAAACAAATGGCAAACAAATTGACGACGCGCCATTATTTGACAACAAAACTGACGAAGAACACGCAATAACGTTATACATTTTTATATTTCAGATAACGAGTTTCGCTACCTTACCCCGCAGCAAGAAGACAAGTAAGAAAAAAGTGGCATGAAACCTGTCTGCTGCTGACCGCATTACGGAATAGAGACCAAGTCTCTTACATCCAAATAAAAATATCCTCATCGTCGTGCGAATCTAATTCCGCACGAGAGATGTAACGAGCACATTTATCGGTCAGCAGCGAATAATCGATGATAGCGATCGAAGCAACGCGTTGTACACAGCTGTGTATGGTCTCTAGCACCAATATTTTTTTTTTTTTTTTT